ATTATTTCAAGACTTCAAAAAGCTTGATGGAATCAGTTTGTTTGTATGAAATAAGATAATACAGTCTAACTAAACAATATCTTTGTTGACTGTGGGCTAGAATTATAGGAAACAAAATTCTATTTCATTATAGAGTGTAGAAAGGGTGGATACAATTTAAAGCCAGAAAGATTTCTGTTCAACTTGCAGCTCTGACGTTTTCCCACTGTGTGAGTTTATTCAAGTTATTAACCTCTCTGATTCCAGGTTTCACCGGTGGAAAAGTGAGAATAACACCTATCAGACTGGAGTGTATGAGTGCATGAGAGTTCTAGTTGGTCCACATGTCACCAACACTTGCTATCACTTTAGCCTGTCTAGTGGGTATGAGAGGTATCTCGTGGTGGTTTAAGTTTGCATTTCCCCAGTAGCCGATAATGTTGAAAATGTTTTTGTGCTTATTGGCCATTTATGTATCTTCTTTCATCTGTTCAAATCTTTTGCACATTTAAGAAATCAGGTTGCTTGTCTCCTTATTACTGAGTTGTAAGAGTTCTTTATATATTCTGCATACAAGTCCTTACAAACACCAACATATCATTTCTCTTCATGAGACCAGCTTTGGGGCCCCAAGGCCATTTGTCTATCAGGTCATCATATAGTGGGTTAGTCTGCTGAGACCGTCATAACAAATGCCACAGACTAGATGGCCTGAACACCACAAACTGATTTTCCCGTAGCTCTGGAGTCTGAAAGTGTGAGATGTGGGTGCCAGCACAGCCACGTCCTGATGAGAACCCTCTTCCTGGCTTGCAAAGGACAGACTTCTTGCTATGTCCTCACATGGTGGAGAGAGTGATTTCTCTCTCTTCTAAGGCCACTAATCTCATCATGAGGGCCCTACCCCCATGATCTCATCTAATCCTAATTATCTCCAAAGACCCCATCTCTAAATATCCTCACATTTTCAGTTAGGGCTTCAACATACAAATTTCCGGGGGATATAATCATTTAGTCACAACACCCCAAGCCAAAAGCTCTGAGAAAAATAGTATTTCCTAAAATCATGGGGATTGCAAATGTTTGCCAATACTCCATGTGAAGGAACGACAGAGAAACAAGCCTTCTGTCACCAGAGTGGATTTTTTTCCTCCAGCTTTTACCAAACTTCCTAAAGAAATCTGCCAAAGAAAGTGCTGGGACTTTGGGGGATTAGTCACAGACTGTTTCACTTTTAGTTTTCTTAACTGCGGTCAATATCCTATGTGTTGACTGCTTGAGTATGTGTTAGATATTTGAGCTGCAAATTGGCAATGCATTCTGGCATTGGAATTAAGGTTCTTCAGCAGGGTATGAGCACAAAAATCGCTCCTGTTCTTAGAAAGCCTGCTTCCCCAGGAGAACTGTACTTTATGAAGCCTTATTCCCTACCTTGTAAGATCCAAGCATCATCAAGAATGGAAAGAGGGAGGCTTTGAGATTCGCCATGTGACAGTAGTCCCCCTCTGTGTCGCCCATCTCACAATTATGGCTGAACTGTACTCTGGGGGGGCAGTCACTGGCAGAACCTCATGATCAGATTTAGTTAAAGTGAACAGAGACTTCTAGTTAATCTCACCCGTGGCTTTGGAGAGGCGATGTCTATTTCTACAGTTGGGGCAGTCCAGTTAGGGTGTAAGTCCACCCAACAGGGCTGCTGTCTTGACGATGTGGCCACCTTGTGATAAATACCAGGGGCAGCTCTGCGGATGGCACGGAGGCAGAGGCTGCTGGGGGTGGAGGATAAAAAGCAAAAGTTAACTGGCCAGGTTGTCTACTCAGAGAACCGGAAGGAAGAATGGAAATTAAGCGACTGGAAATAAGGAGTTTCAAACCTGATTTCTGGACTTGCATTAGAGGGCTAGGGAATACAACTCTCATTCCAAAAAAGGCAACTTTTTCTCTGAGAATAGTTTGCGAATGAAACTCCCCCAATGCAAGGACAAGAGGGCTTTTAGTTGTAAACACAGAGACTGACTCTGGAAAGGAATTTATCAAAGGGACACTGCGGGCTCACAGAATCATTGAGAACCAGCTTGAGGCTCTGCAGCCATGAACAAGACCCGAAGCCACACTGGGGAGGAGGCTAAGTGAGAACCCTGCCCTGTAGCTGCCAGGCCCTGGACGGGGCAGCATGTGCCCTGCTGTCAGTGGCCCTGGACTCCAGACATCTACTACCACTGTCACCTGAAGATTCCCAGGGTTCTTTCTCCTTTGTCTTAATGGCTCTCAAGTCAAAAGCTAGGAGGGTGGGGATGATTGGCAACTAGGTCACCTGACCATACCTAGCTGCAAGGGAGGCTGGGAAAGTGAGTGTCTGGCATTTTCAGCTTCCAAGTGGGAGCGCTGATTCTGTCTAAAATTCATATGGGGTTGGGGCTGGAGGATGGTTCACCAAATATAGGAGAAAATTTCAGAAACTGGGCAACTCCCTTAAGAAAAAAGTCACATTAGTTCTAGTTTCTGATGAAGGAAGAGAGTGTAAGTAGTGGTGTCTAAGTGTAAGCTAGCTGACGACTGGGAGGACGGAGTAGCGTGGAGAAAGTTCTCTGCCCCAGAAGAGGAGCTGGGAAGGACAGACTTTGGTGATTCTCAACGTTGGCTTCAATTAGGATCACCTGGGGAGCTTTAGAACTGCTACTGCCAGGGCTCCATTCTAGACCAGTTAAGTCAAAATTCCTAGAAGTGAATTATGTGTTGAAATCTCCCTAGTGATTCTAATGTGTGACTAGGGTTGAAAAACCACTGGATTACACTGAAGGTCCCTGGAAAAGAGAAACAGGTGGGCTCTGGAGATGGTGGTGGG